CGGGACACCGCCCACGGGGCCGCCATCTTGGGTGAGGGCAGAGACGCTCTTGGCGCTCCCGACCCTCGGCTGGCCTGAGTCGCTGCCGCCATGTTGGATCAGGGGAATCCAGTCTTCCGACGCCATGTTGGGTTAGGTCAATGTGGGCCTTGGCCAACATCCTCAGGCCAGCTCTTATATCGGCTGGCTGCTTGGTCGTCTCTGGCCTTTCGTTCTATCATCACAACTCCCATGTTGGATCAAAAACGATTATGCTCTCCTCCTTCTTTGTTTTTTCCCTGTCACCTTATATTTCTCCTGTACAAGTAGCCTGCCACTGAGCATCTCATACATACCAGGGGACCAGTGTGTTTGTAGAGTGCAGGGTAATTCCCTGCTTCTTATCCAGTAGGCTGGTTGAGGACTCAGCCTCATAAGGTTTCTTTCCTGCTTTTTTATTTTAATGCCAAATAGTAAACAGTTGGAGAAGCTCTTGTGGTCCAGCATTCCAAGATGTCACAGGGCTGGGTAGGTGTACAGTGCAATCACTGAGGGCTGGGTGGTGATGCAATGCAACCAGCAGCCTATGGCCATGTGGCTGGCATGGCTGGTGGAAGAACAAGGTAAGAGATAAGAAAAATATTTATGACCACAGTGGCTAAAAATAAAGGAGCTTTGACTTAGATGGAAAGAAACAACCTGGCTGGGTGGGGGGTGGGGGGTACTTCTCCAATCGGCTGACTTGACTTTCTGCTCATTTCTTTGTCCTACGGGCTTCTTCACAAAAGTGTCCTGCCATTACTTTTCGTACTACCAAACATCTCCTTAAAAGAATTACTGTTTATATGGTGGCATAAAATATTTATGTATTCATTTAAATAAGTATTCATGAAGCGAAATTGTTGCTCCGGGGTTCACTTAAATGAGCGACAAAAGTCTTCAGTGTCCAAGAGAGTACATGGTGCCAGCCGAAAATAAAATCATATTGTTGTTATCCAAGAAAAACCTAAATAAACCCTCTAGTCTCACTTGTTCTTAGTTGACTTAAAAATTACTAATTTTGGAGGTCACATAGCTAAGAAATATATTAGTATCCCACTAGCTTTGCTTTAGATAGCACCTTTCATGTGGGTTATGGTGGTAAGAGTTGACTAGGTTACTTTTCAAGGACTTGAAGGCTCTTTTGCTGTAAACAGTGACTTTTCCCTTCAGTCTGAGATGTCCAATAGGGTGACTTTTGAAAGATGAAAAGGTCTGACATCTTTGTATTCATATTTTCTGTCTCCTTTGTGGCCTTAACCTTTTGAATAACAATGCCAACCAGCTAATGTGGTGGCCCAGCCTTCACAACACTAACATGCCTGAGTTGGGGAGTGAGGATTGAGAAAAGACAGCACACTCAATAATGTGGAGACAAGAAGTCTAATTTATTTTACAGAAACAGCTCTTTTTAAAGGTACACCAACAGGAAGCACCAAGCAACTATTTGTATGCAAAGACCGGATTTTCTGACTCTTACAGAGATCAGATCTTTGGCTGTCTCTTCCAGTTCCTCCCATCACAGGGTCAAAGAACAAACAAATTTAACAAAGTCCTTGAGCCGGGTGTGGTGGTGCAAGCGTATAATTCCAGCACTCGGGAGGCGGAGGTAGGAGGATGCTGTTGAGTTCCAAGACCAGTCTGGATTAGCAGTGAGCTCCAGGCCAGTCTCATCTACATAGCTGAGACCCTGTCTCAGAAAAACCAAATAAACAGATGTTACATAGGTTGTATCAATGCTCTAATGGTAGAAGAAGTTACTTTTCCAATGTCAAACACCAGCCCCCACAAGCTACCATGACCCAAAACACCAGATCATAAAAAGAAGGATCTCTGCCTATTCCTATAAAATATATGAATATTCTTGCCCCTTTTTAGCTTTTCTCTCTCTCTTATTATTCTAATCCTGTCTGTAATTTCTCAACTCTAGAGTTAAACTGACTTGCAAGGAAGGAACCTACTTAATTCTCCATTCATTGGCCACTGAATAAAGCTTTTTTTTTCTTCCATCACTGGGTCTTTAAAGTTGCTGGGTTTATTAAACAGCAGCAGAATCAAACCCTTTCTTGGTTATAGTATTTGTTGGTTAAAAAAGGTGATATCAGGGAATTGTTTCAATAATCTAAGAATAGTGGTTTGGGCCAGGTTGGCAACAAATGAAGGGGAAAAAAATTGAATTTTGGAACTATTTAAAAACTCTTAAAATTTGGTGATACTGTTAGATTTGAGTGGGAGTAGAATGTGGGAGCCTGGCTGAACCAGAGCGACTCCATATTGACCAGCAAACGACCTAGACTGTCGCTCCCCACATCCCTTATAAGATAACTAGTGATTAATTGTGAATTGTTAGATAACTGTGTATGGTGGAGACTGATACACAGAGACCCAACATGGATTGCGCCACTCCTTGCATGCCTGTAGTCTGAATGTTCTAAACATTATAATCTAAATTGTAAACAAAACAGTGAATGAGCAATCTGCTAATCATTAGTACCTGACAGTCAAATATGTGTCTGATAACCAATAGGTCAGAACGACCGCTTCTTCACCTTTGTCCTCTTCCCGTAAGTTTTATATGTAAACCCCCCCCTTTTCAGCCCTATATAAAGTGGCTTCTGTTTCTGAGCTAGCCGCCTCTCTGAGCTACTTGGCTTGGGGAGTGCCGTCTGGCCAGACTAATAAAGGTCTATTTGCCAACTTGCCTGGTGTGTTCCTTCGTGGGTGACTCTCACTGTGTGACAAGCTCCTGGAGCCTCGCTGAGCTTCTGAGCTCAGCATCGTGGAAGCCTCTTGGCTGTTCACGCTCCAGGAGTAAAAGTGAGACTTAAGTCTTACAGAAGAGGCACTCAGACAACTTGGAAAAATGAATTATAGGAGCAATTTTTCCCCTTTTCCTCAGCCTCTTATTTATTTTGGATTTTTAAAATTTATTTTAAAAAATTAGTACATATTTGTCATACCTGATGATCACTTCCATCATATGTAGAGAATTTGTACATGTACTTAATGTATCTTAATTTGAAGAAGCAATTTTTCATTTGCATCTCTTGGATGACCACTGATGTGGAACATTTTTTCATGTGTTTATTTGCTGTTTCTACTTCTTTGAGAAATGTCTGCTCATTTGTGGGGGCCCAGTCATGGCCCACTGGAGTTTGACATTTGGAAAATAACTTCTTCCTGTATAATTAAGGCATCAACATTTGCTACTTTTCAAGAAAACTGTTTGTTGAGCTTGTTTTGATTCTTTGACCCTGACATAAAAGGAAACTCGTTAGCTGAAGATCTGATGTTATCTGTAAGAGTCAGGAAATCCGGTCTTTGCATAAAGATAAAAAAGATTGCTTGGTGTTTTCTGTTGTTGTGTGCCCTTAAAAGCTTCCTGTTGATGCGAGCCTATAAAAGGAGCTGTTTCTGTGAAATAAATCAGACTTCTCTTCGTGTCCACTCAGGCTTGAGTGTTCTTTCCTTTCTCAATCCTCACTCCCCGACTCAGGCATGTTCGTGTTGTGACGCCTGGACCACCACACTCATTTCAGATGCCCATTTTTGGATTGGGTCTTTAAATTTGGGAGATCTGATTTTTTAAAATTCTTTATACATTCTAAATAATAGACCTTTGAGAAACAGCGGGTAAATTTTTTTTTCTCACATTATGGGTTGTCTCTTCACTCTGTTGATGGTTTCTCTTGAAATGCAGAAGCTTTTCAAGAAGATGAGATCCCAGTTGTTGATTCTTTGTGCTAGTCCATTTGTGACTGAAGTTTTATTCACGATGCTGAGGCTCCACCTCACTCTAGAAACAATGGCTGCTGTCAAGAAATCAACCAACACAAATGCTGGTGGGGTTGTGGAGAAAAAGGAACCCTTCTCCACTGTTGACGGGACTTTAGACTGGTACAACTACTATGGAAATCAGTACGGTGATACCTCAAAAAGCTAGGATTAGAGGTCCCATTTGACCCAGCTATTCCCCTGCTGGGTATTTTCCCAAAATAATTTAAAACATCATACATAGTATGTACACACCCATGTTTATAGCAGCATAGTCTGTAATAGCTAAATATTGGAAAGAACCCAAATGCCCATCAACTGGACATTTGGATAAAGAAGATGTGTTTTTTTAAAAAAAAGTAAAATGAGTACTAGCCAGGTGTGGCGGTGCACACTTATAATCCCAGCTCTCAGAAGGCTGAAGCAGGAGGATTGCTGTGAGTTCAAGATCAGCCTGGGCTACATAGTGAGTTCCAGGTCAGTCTCAACTACATAGTGAGACCCTGTCTCAAAAAACCAAAAAAAAAAAAAACAATAAATAAATGAGTACTATTGAGCCATAAAGAATCAGAAACTAGAGACATTTATAGCTAGATGAATGCACATTGAGGCCATACTTTTTTCTCTTTTTTTTTTTTTTTGGACTGGCACTCTAATTTATATTTCTTTTCTAAGTGAAAATAAAAAATAGGCAAACAAGATTATAAATCACTCTGTCAGACACCTGGCTGTGGTTTTCCTTTGGCAGGAGGAGTTTTTGAAGGATTCTGCTTGTGCTGAGCCTGAATTTCCTTCTTGTTTTCTGGCTCAGGAAGAGGAGGGGGTAGAGGCGGAGACTCAGCCAGGAAAGCTACTGTTTTTTTCTCAGCTTCCTTTTCTTTTAATTTCTTTTCAACTTTATTCTTTTTCTTCACTATCTCAGTTGCAAAATTTTATTTTAGTTTCTGGCATAAATGCTCTTTATTTCAACATTGATTTTTATCAAAATATTTTCTGGGTCTGAAAACCACTGTTCTGGTTGGGATTTAGCTCAGTGGCATCACACCTGCCTCCCAAGTGCAAAGTCCTCAGATTGATCCCAGTATCGCAAAAAAAAAAAAAAAAAAAAAGACAAAGAAAAAGAGAAGAAAAGCACTGTTTCCAACAAAGCCCAGTTGCCCAAGAAGCCAATAGTTCTATTTTGTATGTGATCTCTTAAGTTCTGGTACCCATGCTTATCTTGGTTTTCAGCAGTGCCATGTTGACCAATATCTTTATGAGCCATTTCATTTGAAAATTCTTCAACTATGATATCATTCATGTGATTCAGCAAGAAAGAATATGAAATATCTAAT